CATATTTGGAGCAGGGTGACCACTTTTTTCAGAGAAAAATCGTGACTATAACAATTTTCGAATTTTTGTCGACCTTTTTTTTTAGGTCGACCAAATTAATTTTTCAAGCTCTGCCAAAGCACAAAAAATTCCCTGTTTGGCCAAAATTTCTGCGCCGCAGGCAAATTTGTAAAAAACAGGCCAAAAAGGCGGTTTTATGGGTTTTTTTGGAAAATTTCGACCAAAAATTGCGTTTTTTTGGCGCCCCTCCCCCCTCAATATTTGTATATAATGGCGCAAAGGCGCCTTTAGAAAAATTTTAGGATCCGTCACCTAAAACCGTTGTAAATAGTGACTTTTAGTGACCATTGAAAAAATAGTGACGAATTGACCAATAGTGACTGGTCACTAAAATAGTGACCATGTGGTCACCCTGATTTGGAGGCAAAATTCGCAACTCCTGAGAGTAACCTGACGAAGCCTCACACAAGTTTTTTCAAATTTTTTATATCTAAGTTCTCTGAAAAATTTTGAGAAAATCCTAAAAAAAACGTCATATCTAGAAAACTACAAACATTTAAGCAGCCATATTCAGTGGCAAGATTCGCATTTCCCTGAGAGTACCCCCACAGATTCTAAAAACAGGATTGAGATCTTCAACATTTTGGGATTTTTTAACATCCAAGTTTTTTTTGAAAATTTCGGAGAAAATCATAAAAAAACGTCGTATCTTGAAAACTACAAGTATTTGAGCATTCATATTTGGGGGCAAAATTTGCAACTCCTGAAAATACCTTGACAGAGCCTCAGCACAGCGATGCGAATATGAAATTTTGTGAAATTTCTTATATCTAATTTTTCTGAAAAATTTTGAAAAAATCTTGAAAAAACGTCATATCTCGAAAACTGCAAGGATTTGAGTAGCCATAATCAGAGGCAAGATTCGCAACATTTGAGTATTCTCACAATATCCAACAACAGGAATGAGATCTTCAACGTTTTGAAATTTTATAAAGTCTAAGTTTTTGAAATCATAAAAAATGTCATATCTCGATAACTACAACGATTTGAGAAGTGAGATTTGGAGGAAAGATTAGCAACCCCTAAGAGTACCCTGACAGCACCCAACTACAGCGCTGGAATTTCAAAAATTGTGAAATTTTTTAAAATTAATTTTTCCGGAAATTTTTGAAGAATCTTGAAATTTGCCTATCTCGTACACTAAAAGGATTTAGTTATTCATATATGGAGGCCAGAATCGCAAAACCTGGGAAAACTCTTACAACATCCCACTATTAGGTTGATGAAATAAACACTGAATTTAAACAGGAAAATCGAAAAAACCTTAACCATAGGAATATACGATATAGCTTAAACATAAAAAAACTCTTTCGTTAAACATGCAAAATTATCATGCTTAAACATGGGAGATAGCTGTCACTCGCATTTAAATATAGTTTAGATAGTTATAGATAGAAAACATTTTGGCATTATCTATCTATACTTCGGAAAATTGCCTGGTAGATTGTTGACGTATAAAAAATGTGTTCAAGTTGTGGGCTTGAAGTTATTCAAACAAAAGACGTGTCTGAAAAAGCGCAATCATTCTGCATTGCTCTTTTGACAGTTCAAATTGACATTTGAAAATGCAGTTCCAATATTAACGCCATTGAACTGTTTGAAGGTCAGAATTACGTTGTCCAATAAATTTGTTAGAAAATATTTAAAAAAAAAAACAGTTTCACGGCACTTACAACTCCACTCAAGCAGATAGAACAGATGCAATTAATATTCCCTTGCTATGCAGCAAACGAGTCCCCGATGTGCAACTTCAGTAGGAAAAAAGTAGTTTCGTGATATTAAACCACGCTCGCTAGCTCGCGTGTGTAACAAATACCATTACACTTCGCATGTGCTCGTAAAACTTCATAGAGCATTAAACTTTGATGTTTTTCATCTTTCATGTACTTAATGAATATTATGCATAAAAATAGCGAGGGCTTGTTTAATTCATCTAAAAATTATGCGGCTTAAGCTAGGTTTGACATCTAAAAACTTAGGAATATTAACACACAGAGGCGAAGTGGAGCTTCGTGATACTTGCGAGACCACTTAAATACGATCGAAAGCTAGCAGAAAAAAATGAAACGCCCTTAAGTCGAAAACAAAATACAAAAAACGACCTGATAAAATTCCATTTTCCTATCTGTTAACCTTGCTAATCGCAAAGATAAATAAGAACATATTAACGTTATCTTTTGCTCGAGGGTATTCTCGTAATGGGTATTAATTATGCCCTTCGTCTATTCTTGTAGAATTCGTTTTTTTTACTGTAATATTTCAATGCTGTTGCATAACACTTGATTTTGGAAAACTAAATACTTTCTTCCTATATATTTTTTTCAGAACTTTTTAGAATGAAAAATATGATATTATGCTGAATAATTTCAAACTTTCTTAACTCACCGGTGATAATGTGGTATATGTTGAGCTGCCAGATACAGCTGGGACTCTTGCTCATCTTCCGCATCTGACTACCTCCGCCTCCCGTTGAACTCCCTTGACTCCCACCAGCAAAACTACTCGTAGAGTTGTTCACAGACTGCACTGTCCACCTGTCAACAGACAAAGATACTTGACTTTCCCCAGAGTTTTTCATACTTCTTCAAATAAATTTATTGACTCTGCAATCATAAAAGTACTATACATCCACGTTTTGTTTCGTGCTTTATGATAATTTACGTTCCGACCACAACACAAAACGGGTAGGGTGCGCTTTTCCGACTCAATTTTACGGCGTCAAAACAATTTGTAGGAAAAAAGCGTAATATCATAGTAAAGCGCTTTCAGCCGTGATTCGGATTCCAAAAACAATTTCAAAAAAGTTGCCTGAGTCGAGAAAAATCGTTGTGAAATTGGTCGAGATTGTTAGCAAATAACAAAAAAAAACAATGTTACACAGAGGCTAATCCTCTATGAAGTACAATAAGAAAATTTAGAAATAAGCCTCGAATTAGTAAGAATTCGGCAACGTCTCGGACTCCAACCTGCGACCTATAGATTATGAAACTCACTCACTAACCACACAGCCACGAACGCTTAATAGGTCTGGCCACAAATAAAGCAGAGAACAGATGCTATGCAACTTCCAATGCTACAGTTTAATTTCCAAATAAGTAAACACTGTCATTTGCAAGTAAGGTCAGAAAAAAGGTTTGTAATAAAACACTACGCTGATCGCTAGTGTAAACATGAAAAAGGATAGCCGGCTGTTGTTAAAGTATGACAAAAAGTTCCGACCACAGAATGTTTCGAGTTTCTTTGTTCAAACTATAATTATTTTCAGATTAATTTTTTCCGGCATTTTTTTAGTGTTTCAGTGATTTCAACTTGTGCTATGGCTCACTAAGCCAAGCATTCCCCTCTCGCTTACTAAAAATCAATGATTTTTTAAAAAAAATTTTACGAAAATATTTTTAGCTTTCGTTATAAGAATTTGCCTGGTTGGAACAATTTGTGCTACTTTCACAGTTGATCCTTGTTGATGTTAACATTCATGTTTTGTTTGTGGTGTTTGCCTATATTCTATCACTTCTTTAAATTGATTTAGTGTGAAATCAAAAAGATAAGCACATCAAGTTTCAAGTTTGAATACAAAAACACAAACAGTGCATGTAGAGAATCATCAATTAGTAAAATTCTCGGATACCAAATGATTTCTTGGATCAATTGAGCAATCTCCCCCCCCCCCCATTATCGCGTGGGGGGAGATAGATCGGTAGGTACTTGAGACATGTTTATAACCACTTGAAAATAGTTTGAATGACATGAAATCATAAAACATATTTTCCAACGACTGTGTAAAGCCAAAACTTACAATATCAAAGCTCAAAAGTTTCATTCAGATTGAAAAAAGAATCAATAAAACAGGCATAAAAAGCGACTTTTTTCTTTCTTAAAACGACAAATAGCTTTTTCGTACAATATTAAGCTGCTGCGGATAACCGTTTTTGCTATTCAGATACAAGGCAAGAGCACCAACCCTGGTAAATCGCTTTCCTCGACCAGGCTATGGTCGCCAAAACAAAATTTTTTTTTCGATACTCATAAAATAAACTTCAGTCGGTCAATTGATTGCGTGCTATGAACACATCATCCATCTACTTGCGTTTGCTGACGTCTTTTTGTAGAGTTTTTCGTTTTTGCTGGAGGGAGATAGCTCAATTGGCTTAACTTTTAATATTTACATTTCTTCAGATGATTTGCTTATGATGATGATTTGCTGACGAAAGCGCTTCTTATTTGACAATAAAGAACATTGGTAACTTTTGTTTTTTGATTTAAGTTTACTGATTCAAGGTAAAATTACATAGCCTAAATGACATCTTTCTTGGTTGGTAGGAAATTGCGAAAACTCACTAAACCTGAAAAAAATAGGGCGCGGGTTACAACATGGCAATAATTTATTTAAATATACCATTTAATACTTCAGTTAACTTTCAATACAGGCACAAGGAGACAGTTAAGGTAGATTACACAACCACAACATCGATAAAATTATGAGTTATATCTGATTCAGCATCTGATTAAGGAGGCGCGCGGCAAGTTTCCTCGCGACCTCGAGTCCGGTGACCCTTTTGTACTTTTTTACGATAAAAATTCAGGCTTGCCATTTCTTAAGACTTTCGCCTTTGTAACATTTAAGGGTAGTAAACATAGTTGATCGCCTTCGGATCCGTTCCTCACCACAAATCAACTTTCGGCCACAAATGTTTTGGGTCCAAACAGATGGGTGTGAAAATCCATTTGGTCTACCTAAGAAAAAATCCGTCCGCCCACACTAAAACCCTAGATCTGCCTCAGTTGGACCATTATGTGTTGGATATGATGTGTAGGGCAGACTCCTCGTATAAGTACCAGTACCTGTTCTGGCACAGTCCAGCGCTTCCACTCTCTGAGTCTGTGGCCACAATCCAAAATGTGATGCAGCTGCAACTCCGTCTGTGCCTTCTCCTCGTGTCTGAATGTGGCCACCAGCAGATGGTCAAACACTCGAATAGTACTCTGACTCTTCTTGAACTCAGTCGAGAAGAAGTACTCCCGTAGACCTTAACCGCATCACAACACAATACAACAATCCACACATCCACTCAATAAAGGTATTACTACTCAACTTATAACCTTGGATAAACAGAAAAAAAATTAAAGCAGGCTTGCCGTGTGAGTTCGCAAGAGGTTTATTTGTCCATATAAATGGATTATTTCCGATCTGAATCTTTTGCCTCTTGTTTGTTGCTGTATTTTTATAACTGTTTCAACCCTCAGGAGGTTGCTAAAACCAGGCTCTACTACCCAAGTAATGCATCATCTGGCTGTTTAAAATGATTTCTAAAACTGACCGATGGGTGCGGTGGTGCCTGGCATGGCAGCAGCTGCAGCAGCCGCCGACTGGTCACTCATGCTCCTCTTCAGGAACTCATTGGCAGTCAGACAGTCGCCGTCGTCCGAGTCATCGTTGTCCATGTCCCCCCACAGGGGCGAGAAGGGGGAACTACTACTGCTGCTAGTATCTTTAATGTTGTTCGGGTTTCCCAGGGGTGCCTTGACTACCACTATTTTGCTCTGATTGGTCGCACGGTCTCGTTCAAACAACACTACAGCTGGAAAAAACGTTATCATAAGAAATACGTAATAATCCCTTCCATTCACATGTTTAATTCTCAAAAAAATTTAATTGAAAAATGAAACAATCACTCAATATTTTCGCGTACTGATTGAAGAGTTTTTTATCAGCTGAAATGTTTGTTCACGTAGGAGTGCTAAGAAAATTATGTACTTTTTTTGATGAGAATAAAGTATATAATTACATAAACCCACTAGACAAGAATAGTTCGGACCTGATATTTTGGAGTTTAGAAACTGTTTGTTTCTGCTGCTGCTATTTCCGCTGTTTCTCTTCAGAATACTGGCAAAAAGACTGCTAGTGGACGAGGAGGACGCAGAAATAGACGAAAAAGGGTTCGTCTGCTGACTGGAGTCCCCCCTGTCGCCCCCATTTGTGGACCCTCCCCCTCCACCACCCCCACCCGAGGAGCTCCCATCAGATGGATCCTTGGTGGGGTCTTCGAAGCAGCAGCCTGCTATGCAGGGTTGCACCATGTTGATATTGGGAACTGTCTTGATCAGCTTCCCTACAAAGCATTAGAAAAATTCATAAGTAACATATCCCCCTAAACATAACGGACAAATTTCCTCAGAAAACAAAGGAGCAAAATTCTGGATTCTGGGTGGCTAAAAAGAGATACTTAAAATCAAATGAACAAATTAGCCTAATTTTTTTGGCTGTGAAAACTCAATTACTTGCCCAAAACCGGAATATACTAAAGAGGAATGTTGCTGAAGCAACTTTCCCGCACTTTGATAAATCATCGAATAAGTCATAAATTGATTCTAAAGTCACTGCGATTTGTAACATACCATTGAAAAGTTTGAATTAAACCTTCGTGAATCTTGTTGATAAGAAAGATTATCATTACATGCTTTGGCGAATGCTGAACAGCGAAAATTATCATCCTTTTTTGACAGCCGACTAACTTGAGCAAAATTCTCTTTTTTTCACTCTGATATCTCAAAAAACAATAAAACAAAAACACCCCCTTTCAATACACTTGATCCCTGATCTTACCCGGTATTTTTCTTCAGACTGGCACACCAGATTTTTTCGTTTGACCCTTGAAAATAATCTGTGAAGACGAAACTACACAACCGACTGCGCAGTTCACATTATTTGGAAAATATATTCAACAGCTGCATGTCACGTATTCAACAACAGAAGACATAGAAAAAAAAACAGAGAATTGAGAAATAAGTTTTGACAAGAACATCATCGAAGAAAAAAAGGAAGAAGAGAAAAGATCTGACAAAATGTACATGTCTTCTTAAAAAAAAAAAAGAATAAATGTTTGCATTAATCAATATATGTTTACTTGTACATTGATATTGATTTGTAACCCCGAGTTGAGCGAACAAATTTGCGTGTAACTACTCTGAGGAGAGCGAGTTTGAGAGCAAAACTTAACTTGTTTTAATAACAAAACCTCCAAAATTTATCAGTTTTCTTAGCCGTTTTCCTTTCAGACTTGCTCTCCACCTAACCAAGGAAAACCAAGTTATTTTGAGCGCATCTGAGTAAAAAAGAAACCCGATTTGAATCGACGCTGTCGCGACTTTTTGTTTTTCCGTAAACGGGATACTCCGAAAACCCCCTTTTCCAAAAGATAGTTATTTTTCGGCATTTTATCATTTCGTAAAAAAAAAAAAAAAAAAAAAAAAAAAAAATCATTTCCTGTTTTTAACTTTCCTGTTTGCATTTTTTCTGTACAATCTAAACAAACATCTGACGAACTTTAGATTTAAAAAAAAAAAATAAAAAAAAAAAGACGAATATTATTTTTACAATAATAGATGGTGAAGCAGTTGTTGAGCATGTTGTCTGGGTCTCTCTTGTCTTAATGTGCGAATATAATTGTCCTTCCTTTGTCTCGTTTTAAATTGTGTTTGTGTGTAGATGCGTTTTCCTCTCGTTGTTTCTGGAAAATTGTCGTCCCTTTGTATCCTTGCTTTGAGTGTAGCCTGTAAATTACCATAACACGGAAACAACTAAAAAAAAAAAAAAAAAAAAAAATCATTTAATTTCGAGTTTACCAAAAAAAAAATAGCAAGTCTTTTTTTTCCCTCAAAAAACATTTAAATATTTTGAAAACAACAGCAAACATTTTAACAAAAACAAATTGAAGAAAACATTCGAAGTTTTTTTTTTTTCTCTAACTTTAGTTTGAAGTAAAATTGAATAAGAGGTTAAAAAAAAAAAAAAAAAAAAAAAAAAACGGCCGAAACGGAACAAGCGCCGTCCTTATCTACGACTCTCAACAACTATGGACGATACCAATACCAACAATTCGTCGACGTCAACAATAACTGCAAAAATTGCCTCAAGTAAATTCAGGCTGGCTAGAATCGAAATCAGCCGGTCTATGGAGTTCTTACAGTCACAGATAGAAAGAGGGACCCATATTAGTTCTTTGAAGACTTTGGCGCAGAAAACAGAAGACCGATTAGAACAAATGAAAGTAATAGCAACCGAAGTGTTCGCAAATGGATCTTCGGAAGAGAACGACGACGCTATGGAGATATGTGCATGTCTTTCACGACAACTTATAGAGCTAACCCACAACGTCAACACTCTAGGCGAAGACTTAACCAGCTGTTCTGGTTCTAATACAATAAACGTAAACAAATCGACGCCTGTATCCCGGCGAAACCCCTTCGTCAAGGACACTTATGCCGAAAATCACTTCACTCAGCCCTCTAGCAACCGCGTGAACAATTCATCTGATGGAGAGCCAATTAACTTACAGAACGACATGCTACTTCACCAACACTCAACCACCGACGTACCGCAAATATCTTTGAACCACTCTGCAAACGAATCATTGTCTAGAGAGTTGACCTCTCTAAGTTCTCAGTCAAGAGAAGAAAGCTTGGAACAAAAAAGGTTTACAGGATATGAACAAACTATTCAACCAACGAATCAACTACTACTAACATCAGTACACCAAGCATTGCCAGACAACTTACATTTGAATCGAAGCCATGATTCGTTTCAGTTTTCAGCTCCAGCAGTCCATGCAAATCTCCACGAAAAATTTTCATTGGAATCTTCATTTGCTTATTCCAATCGTCAGCAACCAGGAAACGCTATACAAACATCAACTTCAAAGGAAAATAATTTCCATCTAACTCATCAGAAAAATTTAGAGCAGTATACATCTCCCCCTACTGTCATACAAGCGAATCGGAACCCGTTTGCTCAAAGTCACTCGGTTGAACAGTTTCAAAGAACTTTGGATTTGAACAACCAAGTAGTGGATAGTCATGGGGATATTAAAAGGCACCAGGTAGTGGATAGTCATGGGTTTGATAAAAATCAATTAAACATTCTACATGCACATCATTGTCATGAACCGGTTTTCAACAACCCGATATCAACACACTGCGAACAGAATAGAGACGCGCTTAAAGAAAATCATTCAGGATACCTCATTCATCCTAACTACAACCAAATTCCACCGCATCTGCTTGTGCAAAACCATCCCTACAACCAGATAACGGATACTCACGTTGGTAATAGCTACCAAACAAACAATCTTCCTACGCAACATCATCTTGATCAGGCTATAAATAAACCAATTTCATCAAACAGGCAACAGAATAGAGATCCATTTGGAGAAAGTAATTCAAAACTTTTCAATTATCAGAATTACAACCAAGCTCGACCCATTCCAACAATGCACAACTCTGAAACTTACGCAAGTTTTTTACCCGGACAAGAAAAAATTGACTATAAGTTTTCTGTTAAACTTCCTCCAATTAAGCTACCTAACTACGACGGAGACCCGATGGCTTACCACGACTGGATAAACATGTTCCAGGCTACAGTTGATAGGAATCATACAATTAGTGACACTCACCGGATGACTTATCTACAGGATTCGGTGTCAGGAAAAGCAAAAGCACTCATCAAAGGGTACTCATGTAACCCTGCTTTTTACAAAGCCGCACTGAGGGACCTTCAAAATCATTTTGGCGACTCAAACTATATTGTAAATGCTTTCATTCAGCAAATTGAAACTTGGCCGTCCTCAACTAGTAACAATCGTTCAGTTGTTTCATTCGCATCCTTTTTGAAACAGTTAGTTCGAACCTTCCAAAATTTGGGTTTTCAAGCAGATTTGCATTCTACAGCTTTACTCAAACTTATCAAAACTAAAGTTCCTGACAATTTACTTATGAAATGGACTGAATACGCTGTCCGTGAAAATGTTCAAAACAACAACGTACAATTGTTTCAGGAGTGGCTTGAAATACAAGCTAAAGTATTGGAAAGATTACAAGGGGAGCACTCGTTTCTGGGGACGTCAGCGGTCAAAGATCAGGAGCTTAAGACACAAAATCAAACGTCTTTGGGAAGTAAGCAAAACGCTAAAATGGGGTCTGACATCAATACGACAACCAAATTCCAATATCCTTCTAAAAAGTGCTTCATTTGTTCGCAGGAACATTTTTTGGCTCATTGCACCCGCTACCAGAGCTTAGCACCAGTTGAAAAATATAATTTGGTAAAACAGCATGAGCTTTGCATAAATTGCTTAAGTTCTCGCCATTCAAGAAACAATTGCAATTCAGAGAGACGATGTCAGCAATGTAGAGGGTTCCATCATACGTCACTTCATGATCCATCTCGATTTACAAGCAAAAACAGCGCATCTTATGCAGCAATCGTCTCAGGAAAAAACGAAGATGATAAGGAGTTTACAACCTCAACCTCTAGCAGATATGGCCTGTCGCATAGCATTGACAAAAACACATACCATCAACAAAAACAAGCGGACAGTGAAATTCATTTTACAAAAAAGGGAGGGTTTACTGCTTCAGAAAAAGCAACATTTGAACGGTTACCCAACATTTGGTTCGAACAATTACAGCTGATCCCTGTGTCGTTCGTCAATAATGGTAAAGTGTGTGACACTTACGCTCTCATTGACCCTGGCAGCCAATTTACTTTTATGCTTGATCAAATTGCAGACTTCTTGGAAATCTCATCATCAGAAACAGCAAACATGTCTTTACAATATATAAATATCAACCATGAGATGCCGGTTGCAAAACTAGACAACATCGTTAATTTAGCACCGTACAAACAAACGGGACAAACATTTCCAATTCGTAATGTTTATAAAACGCCATTTTTAAATATACCTCCTGCAGATGTTGCTCATCTGAATGAAATCTGTCAGGGTTTCAAAGGTTTTAGCCACATAAAATTCCCCAATATTGCTGGCGGAAGAATTGGAGCACTACTTGGCGTTAATACGTTCTCTTATACGTACCCCATTCAAGTAATTGAAGGAAATGATTGCCGACCACACGGAATACAAACTCGACTGGGTTGGACAATTGCAGGAGAATATCACCAAACAATTGCTCCCACACGTTTGAATAAAGTGCGCAACAGACAAACTTCGGGATTTGTTTTCCACGTTACAAGAAAGTCAAATGAATCTGTTGAGCAGCCATTGGACTATTTAATTCAGCAATTCTGGAAAATTAAAGAAACTGGACAAAAAACAACAGAAAAGGAGTTTTATACCGAAAACAATTTGGCGGCAATTCGGATCCTTGAAAACACAATACATCATACAGGAGAAAGGTATGAAATTGGTTTACCGTGGAAGAACGAGACTCAATTGCAGAATAACTACTACATAGCCCTTAATCAATTAAAATCACTTGATCGCCGACTTGCTAAAAACAACGATCTACGAAATTTATACGAAGCAACCCTCGTAAATGACCTCGAAAAGAAACACGTGCGACCTGTAGAAATGAAAAGAATAAAACCCTCGCGAATTTGGTATCTACCACATCACCCAGTGCAAAACCCAAATAAACCGACAAAAATCAGAAGAGTAGCCAACGCTGCATCTCTTTTTAAAGGCCAATCACTTAACAACAATCTCCTCACAGGTCCAGATCTACTTGCAAATCTGACAGGGATTCTGCTGCGCTTCCGCAAACATTCTATTGGTCTTCTTGCCGATATTGAAGGGATGTTTATGCAAGTAAAAATTCGTGAAGAAGATAGGCCAGCCTTGCGTTTCCTCTGGAGCTATAACGGAAAAGTTCATCAGTATGAATACACGCGGTTAATATTTGGAGCCACATGTTCACCATTCTGCGCTATTTATGCATTACAAAAATGCGCTTTGGACAACAAAGACTCGTTTCCTCTGGCTTATGATGCAATTCTAAACAGTTTTTATATGGATGACTACATTGCCTCAGTACCGACGTTAGCTGAAGCACAATGCGTTTCAAGAGAAACCAGGGAGTCTTTAAAACAAGGTGGTTTTCGTCTCACCAAGTTCTTATCTAACAACAAGCTCGCCCTGCAACATATTCCTTGCGAAGACCACGACGAGATAAAAACTTCAACTCGTGTTCTTGGACAAAACTGGAAAATTGACAGTGATGAGTTTTTTATTGATCCCCTTCAAAACTTTCCTACTCTGGCTGATAATTATACTCAACGGAAACTCTTCAGCTTATTGTCGTCTATTTTCGACCCTCTAGGAATTATAGCACCAGTAACAATTCGTTTGAAGGCTCTACTGCAGCAGATTTGGAGGCTAGGTTTGAAATGGGATAATCAGATACCTAGTGATCATCAACACAAGCTACAGAAAATCCTGGATTCTTTTCTCAAGATGGAAAGAATAACTTTGCCAAGAGTTTTGTTTCCAAATCAAAGCAATAAATCGTGGAGTTTGGAAATACACGCATTTACTGACGCTTCACTCATCGGTATGGCCGCAGTCTTGTTCTTGCGAATGCATAATTTAGACGAAACAGTAATTGAATGTAAATTTTTGATTGGCAAAAGCAAGGTTGCGCCTATTAAACAACTGAGTGTACCAAAACTTGAATTAGAAGCTGCAACAATTGGAGCACGTCTTTTGTCATTTACGTCCAAAGAACTTCATCTCAATAGAACAGCTGTTTTACATGTCTGGACAGACAGTCAGGTAGTACTTGATTGGATAAAATCAACGAAACAGCAAAAAACATTTGTGGCAAATCGACTGACTGAAATTTCAACAATGGATCATCAACTACAATGGCATCACATTCCAACTACTCTGAATCCTGCAGATCACGGTACTCGAGGTCTTGAACCCAGGGAAATTAATGAAAAATGGCTCACACCTCCAGCCTTCTTGAAACAACCTAAGTATCTTTGGCACGATAATACTTTGCTCGCAACAACAGTGGTTGCTGCGGGTTTTCAAAGACAGACCAAGCATAAAAAATTGTCTCTAAATGAGCCAATTTTCGACATTAGACGATTTTCTACATGGAACAAGCTAATTTTAACTCTCACCACAGTCATGAGTTTCATTTCCAGACTACAAATTAGGATTCTCAACAGAAAAACCAATCAAAACCCATCCTCCAGTGATGAAAATGAACAAATTTTTTGCAACACCTCAGATGTTGAAAAGGCCAAGCTATACGCAATCAAAATTTGTCAGGCTCAGTCGTTTCCTAATACTATCAAAAAATTAGAAAGCAAAAGCAAAATTGACAATAAAGACAAATTGGTTCAATTGAATCCCTTTTTGGATCAAAAGACAGTTCTAAGAGCTCGAGGTCGTCTTGAGTTTGCATCTTGTATGAAAGAAGATGCAAGGTTTCCGATAATATTGGATGCGAAAAATGCAATAACAAAATTGTACATTGAACACGCACATCATATTTGTGTACATCAAGGATCAGAGTTTGTCAAATCCTTCATACAGCAACGCTACTACATTATTGGTGTACGACTGGCTCTACGCAGTGTACGTTTTAAATGTTTCATATGCAGACGGTTCGATGCGCAAAACCTCCAGCCAAAAATGGCACCCCTACCAAGCTCAAGATTTCCACAGGAGAACACTCACTACCCTTTCATCAGCACA